CCCATATACATCAGAGGCACAGAGCATCATTCGGAGTTACTGCAAAAACACTTTCACTCCATGGGACAAAGTGGGGAAGGAAGGTCTTGCTCTGAAATCAGGCCACTGAAAGGAAACCTCGTGCAGAGGCCTGAGAACTGCAGTAAGGAATCCAGTCTCTAATGGGCTAGGCGTGCCTGTGTCTGTGGTTTACGTGCAGCACTTGGGTTTACAGGAGCGGCTGGGTCTCAGACTACTTAGTGTCCTTATTTGAAAAACACTTTCTCCGTAACCACTTGTTTACTGAAGTTAGTAGCAATTGCCAGTTCTTTCCTCTAGAAGGGCTTAGATGGCTTATCTTCCCTCGTACCACCTCAAGTAAGGTCAAAAGGAACATAAGTCTTTATGTGTGTAACTCAGAAGTAAGGGCTGAGATGGGATTTGGTTGGTGCTTTCAAAAGAATGATATCTCTTTTCCTTGTGTAAACACTTTCCCACCACCTTATTAGAGCAGGGAAATGTGTGAACATGCACTTTACTTGTTTTGAACCATCACCAACGTGTGGCTTACCTGTAGCAGTGGAGGGGAGGGTGGTAGAATGGAGACAGGAGCACGCGTGTCCATTAGGAGTCCTGGGTGGAAATTCTGACTTAGTACTTGATGAACTATGTGACCATGACATGGAGTCTTAAACTTCCCAGAACAAGGTTTCTGCATTATTAAATGAATATTCCTACCTTAAAGCATTTGCATGTTTAAAATCATTTATTCTTTATGACATAGGAAATGTACCACACTTCACCAACTTTTTCTCTCTCCTTTGTTAGCTCATTGGCCCCTACTTATATCAAACCCTTCATATTCTGTCCCAGAGTCCCAATACCCTCACAATACATTGCATATGAAAAAGAAGAAATACTATTTATGGCACATTTGGAAATAATCTATAAATTTGGAATATATACAAGGCAGAACAAATAACTTTCTGAATTGTTTATCTGATATATTTTTTAAAAATCAATAGTTATCTGTTCTGGATTTCCTGGGAGCATTTTCAGCTTATTTCTATAGGAAAAATATCATCTCATTTTAATGATTATTTTCCTTCTTCTTGCTAATCTAGCAATTCACCTAAAAAAAAAAGTGCATGTGTGTGAGAGAAATCCATTTTACCAACTTATGCCTACCCTCCCTCATGGATGCCCAGAAATCTGATTTCATAAATCCCCAGAAACATCAGTTCAACCCCAAACAGGAAAAAACTTCTGCAAAGTGAGAAGGACAAACTGAGTCTTTTCTGGGTTTTCTTCTAGACAGTAGCTTGGCCAGGCATGTCACCCAGGATGGCCGGTCTCTTGTTATGAGCCGTCTGCAATGCATCACACTGCAGGATTTGGAAAACAGTCCTCATTGCATTTTTCTCTTAGCTAATCCAGCTCATGAGACAACTTTGATTTGGAATCGACCCAGTTGTGTTTCTAAGCTTCCCAGGCCTGAGGCCTGTCTAGTTTTGGAGTCTTGACCCACCACCTACTAACCATAGAGATGAGTGTTTGTGTGGTTTTGTCAATGAGACATACTAGGTGAACACAGAAAACTACACCCAGCTGTATTCAGCTGAATTCAGCCGTGTAAAAATACATAGAACATGGTCGTAAAGGAGGAAAAGTAATAATGAAGCTGGCCTCACAGTGCTTGTAGTCTGTGGGCTAGTTTCAAACAAGGTAAAAAGAAAAAAAATACATAGAACACACACACTCCTCATATATCTACCAGCTACCTCCATTTGCCTTGTGTGTTTTCAGCCATACCATCCATTCAGTGATACAACTTTCAGATTTCACCTCTTAACAGTAACCACAAGCTGTGAGCACTCCATTGCCCAACTTCACAAGCAGTGAGCCTTGGGTATTTTTCAAGGGAAGTGTTTTATTTGTGTATTTCTTTACCATTTAACATGAATGAAACTGTGATATCATTTTTATTAGGTTTTGCTATGGTCTACGGAAAATGTTTGTGTCCCCCACAAAACCCATATATTGAAAATCTAACACCCAGCGTGAAGGTATTACAAGGTGGGGTCTTTGGGAGGTGATTAGGTCATGGAGGGCAGAGCCTCCGTGAATGGGATTAGTGCCTTTATAAAACTGTATGCAATAGACCCCATTGAGATCCCTTGACCTTCCCACCATGTGAGGACCCAGCGAGAAGGCACCATCTCAGAACCAGAGAACAAGTCTCCTGAATCTGTCGGCACCTTGACCTTGAATTTCTAAGCCTCCAGAACTGTAAGAAACAAATTTGTTAGTTGTAAGCCACCCAGTCTCTGGCACTGTGTATATAATAGTAGACTAAGACAGGCTCATATCTTTAATGTGAAACTGATTCGTTGAACAGACACAAGAGAAAGTTTCTGTGTTGTGTCCTGGTCCCAGTTTTTCCTAAGCCCTCTGCTTTTTACTGTGCTATTTGGCATAATGTGGAGAATTTTAGGAACATGTATGTTATGTAATAGAATTGACTATAAATATATGATTCCCTGGGGAAATTCCTGTGGAAGCTATTTGGTCCTTAAACTCAGAAGCATCTCTAAATGTTGTTGAGATTCAAAGTTGTTTTGTTTTCTGGTTGAGGATCCACGACTGACTTTGAAAAAGTTGGTACAATGTATGTGTCTTCAAATGGCTGGTTTCTTTTTAGCTTTCAGATCTCAGAGAAGCCAGGGACCAACACCCCCTCTCCCATCCCCATCCCCGGTCACTCTGCTCTCTCCTATGTTTTATTTTTCCCGATCAATATCTTAAAATGACCCTATATTATGACAGCATTGTATATGTTACATTAAACAATGTTTATCTGTTCATTGTTCCTATCAGACTACATGCTCCTGAAAAAGTCTGAACCACATATGGATTAATAAATATCTGTATTCTGAAAAACAAAGATTACTTTTCATGTGTTGAAAATGAAAACTATAACAGCTTTTTCTTTGTATGTGTCCAACTGGAATTATTTGGGGTTCCCCCACTAGGAAGCATTAGCCTAACAAGCATTTTCAAAATATTATTAAGTCCTAAGAAATAGGTAAACAGATTACATAATAATTCAGAAACCAAACAGTCTGGTTTTCACACTGCTTTCTAGCCAGTTTTTTTTTCTTTTTCTAAACTGCAATTGTTTTACTTAAATTAATATCTAAGAATAGCTTCCTGACTTCAGCAGCTGGAGGGATAACAGAGAGGGAGGGTAAGCATGTGTTCTTGACAAACAACTGGGAGTCAGACCCAAGATGACCCCTTGGAGCTCGCTGCTAAATAAAATGGACTTGCTCTCAATACCTGCAACTGAAAACTCAGGGTTTTGTCAGCAAACATTTATCTAGTGCCCTCTAATGGCAATGTCCAGTGCTAAAGGCTGAAGGAGTGAGATGAAAAGTAAATCAAGATCTTTCCCTAAATGAGCACAGAACCCGGCAAGAAAGGCAGAACGTGGCGCACAGAAACACAACGCCAAGTCTTAAATCCATGTTGTTTAAAGGGGACTATATGACAGAATGTCACAGAGAAGCAGCATTTACTGTTTATAAGTGCCTTTGGGTTGGGGCAGATTTGTTGGCTTTCATGTGACTGAACTTGAAGGTGCTGTGCCAGTTACCTGCCTGTGTTCTCTCAAGTCCACTCCCCACTGCTCCCTGCTCTGCTTTGTACTTCAGGGAACTACGTTTCCCAGGCTCCCCTGCCCCTGGCTGGTGGCTGGGAGTGCTCAGTGGGAAGCATCCACTGGAGATGGAGTCCAGAGCTTGGGAAGCATAGCTGACTATTGTCCTGTAGTCCTCCGTGTCTCCTCCATGGGTCCAACAACTGCCAGACACATCCTTCCTTCACCTGGTGGTCCTAGGTCCTGGCCTCTGGGAATCCTTGTGTCCTTCCAGCCCAGGGAAGGTAAAGGCTTCCTATTGATGCTAAACGTGGGGTCATCTCCCTTTCCCGCTTTTGGCATCTTGGCTATTCAGTTACTCAAGCAAAAAACTCCCTGTATCAAATCCCCTCTGTTTGAAATCTCTAGCGAGGATTTTGCTTGACTGCCTGGACCCTCAGGGACACAGGAGACAAACTGCTCCTGGTGGGGAAGAGCGGCACAGGCTCTGGCCTGGAAGAGAAGGAAGGTTCAGAAGGCAGATTTAACCTGTGGGAAGGAAAGGTTAAAGGCCACCTGACAACAACAGGAATCCTGCATGCTGAGCCTCATGACTCTATGGGAAGGCTAAGGAGGATGTTATGTGCCTACACACATATTTCAATCAAATATAAAGGCAAAACATTGCCCAAGCAGAGATGTGTTAGGCAAGCCACGAGGCCAATCCACCCAGTTTAAATCAGCTATTTGAGACTCTCAGGAATGACTCGCCTACTCAGAATATCAAAGCTGGGTGTCTTGGTTCTTCAAATGAGATGCATGAGGACACTAAAGTTTTTGAATGTTGAAGAGCTTTGCTCAAAGTCACACAGCTGGCACAGCCAGAAGGAGAACGCCGCTCTCTTAATTCCAGGTTCAAAGGCAATTTCACACTACCATGGGAGCCTTTACCATTCCCCAAGTTCATTTCAAGCAGGTTTGGTCCTTCAGTAACTCCAAGCTTATGAACAATTTGAATGGGTTTGTTCCATAATAATCACTTCTAATGAGCAGGTTACATATTTCAAAGTAACCAGTTTGGAGTGATTTTTAAATAGAATAAAGCAGGAAACATTATATAGTCAACTGAAATGTAGACAGAATTCAGGTGGTAGAATATATTCTACTTTGTTAGCAAAAAACAAAACAAGAGAAAAATCAATCAATCAATCAATCAATCACCCTTCCAGCCTGTGACCTTTACTATAATCTCATAAAATTAGCCTTTACGAAATCCTCCAGGTGTGGTCCAGTACCACACTTTGAGAAACAAGGAGGTAGATCACTTCTATATCAAGACTGAATATTAAGGTTTGGGATAAAATAAACACCTTGAAACCAAGACTTTAGAGACATTATCTGTTTAATAAATATGATTGTAAAAGCAATAAACAAGAGCAATTATACATTACACTACATAGTATTTAACAAAAAAAATACATCAAAAAAGTCATTTGAAAATTAGAAGTAGTTCCAATACTATAAGAAAACTTTATTTCTTTTTTAAATTGGCTTCCTATAAAAATAAGTTGGCAAATGAGGGATTTCAATGCTCAGTTGGAATCCTGGAAAAACACAGAACAGCTGCCAAGCACCCCATTGCTCTCAAAGTTGCTGTTTTGAACTTCTGAAGAAAAAAAAGCAAAGCAAACCTCTGCATTTTGGACAGGGAACCCAATTAGGAATAAGGCAAGGGAGAAAATGTGGGCTGGGTAGTTCAGGGTAGGGCATGCACAGCTTGCCTTCTGAGATTTGGAAAACATTGTGATGTCAGATTTTTATCTTGCCCTGAATCTTACCCTCTACATCTATCCCTTCCCTCCCACTCTTCTGGCCTCAAGCCCACCATACTCTGCCTTGTGTTTGCACCTGCTGTTAGCAAGTAGGTAGGCACTTGGGTCCCTCCCAACTATAGACTGTTATTACTAAGTTCTCTTCGGGGACTGAGCTGGAATGGCCTAGAACAGTGGTTCTCAAACTTCAGTGTACTTCCCAATTGCCTGAGGGGCTTGTAAACATAGATTGATGGGCTCCATCCCTGGAGTTTCTGATTCAGTAGAGATGGGGTGGGGACCCCAAACTGGCATTCTAACAGGTCCAAGGTGATGCTGATACTGCTAGTCCAGTACCACACTTTGAGAAACAGGGAGCTAGATTTTAAGAACAATGAGATTCCTACTGAGCAGTACCTTGCCTCTTGAATCTCCTACAGGCAAGAGAGGCACATGAGGACCTGGGAGATGCTGCATCTAGAACTGGCCATCTCTGGTCACTTCCCAGAATTCCAAGCATCTCATGCCCACCTCTGCTCTTCGTTAGGACTTACAAGCCCATTCTTCCCTATGTCTTCTCATGTCATCATTCATTTATTCCTTCAACAAATAACCATCTTTATAGATACTCTAGGCAAGGCACTGTGCTCGATTTGAGTGTTAGTTCCTTTTTCATCATTTTCCAATTAAAATGAACACAACTGCAACTCTGAGGACTCCCTGGGCCTCTTTTGGTTCCCAAACACTTGGTCTTCCAGATTAAATTTGGGAGGCTCCAACTGAAGAGGATCAATGAGGATGTTTCCTATGGGATAGGAAGCCTGGCAGGTCAGGGAGCAATTGATTTCTACAAATAGATAGCCACCTCAGGCACAATCCATTTCCCAAATTCATAGAGGGCATCTTCAACCATAAAAATTTCTGCTTGATTAACTTCTAACATCAGCTTTGCTAGTCTTCCTCTGCCTGGGCTACCGAAGGGCCGGGGTCCTCAGGATCTTTAGGACAACCAGAACCCTGTTATACCCTGTTGTTGAGCAAGAAGGAGGCTGCGCTTTGAGTAGTTTTTCAAAACTGTTTTCTCCTGAATTTTAGAGTGGGCTTTGCCCATTCCAGAATATTCCAAGGGCTTCTGCTGGACATACTCTCGTTTCCTTCTTTCTCAGGGCCTTCTCTCCTGATTGCCCGGGGAAAACTGGAATTTCTTCATGCTTTGAGCCAATCGCTTTAGTTAGTGGGCTAACCCCTCCCCTTTATGCTATTCATGTTGCCTTTGCCAATCCTATGATACTCAGAGATCTGGGAGCACGCAAGTGAAACGGCTGGGATCATCTTATACAATCAAAATCTCATCCTCATGTAAGACAAGACCTCTATATATTTTCAGACCTTGAACATTGAACCCATTAACCTGCTTCTTCTGCTGAAAACGGTTTTATTTTACAAACATTTTTACTCTACTGGGAGACAAGAAATACTGGTACAGCAACCATCACAGAAGGAAATTGCCCTGCCATACAGTAACATGTTCAAAACATTTCTCACAAGAATCTTCTAAAGCCTGCCTGCACGAGAATTTTATGAGGGTGTGAGGATACCACCATTCATCGGAATGCTTTCTTTGCCAATGCACATGGCCAGATTTGAACTGCTTTGCAGACATACCAACTCTTTCACACACATGGTATGTGTCCAGGTGGGAGAGGACAAGGGTATTTGGAAGAGGAGGAGACAGAGGGTGCATGAAGCTGAACCCTGCAAGGCAGGATGCAGTTGGTCAGTGAGTACGGAAGCTGGCATGCTTGGGAGTGTCCAAAATTGACAGTGACGAGGAACTTGTGGGCGGTGGAGGTAGGGGTGGCAGAGGCTAGGCCAGTATTTAGGGAATGTCAGGGTTAAGGTCCAGAATCTAGCAACATGTTTGGGAAGAAAAGGCAGGAACAGGTGAAGGGTAACTTGGGGACTGGGAGGGAGAGATACAAAGACATCTACAGATCATGACCACAGGGACAGCAAACAAATGGGAAGGCAGATCCATGGGTAACTAAGATTCTGTTTTCCTTATAAATTGGAGGAGGAGTAAAGAAAGCTGCAAGGGAAATAGTCATAACCAGAAAGGCTGAACAGAAAACACAAGTCCACTTCTGACATGCTTGCCCTTGCCAGCTGTCCTTCCCTACTCTGCCTGCATACAGGGAACTTCAACTCAGAGCTTTATCCCCATGGCCACACAGGATGCAGAAAGCAGCCTTGTGGCCACTGCTGGCCAACACAGCCACCAGATAACTTGGAAGTGGACATGGCAATAAGGAAGATGGAACAGAGAAATAGCTCAGGGTTTCAAACTTCTGTGCATGTCCTGGTGTCTTGTGAAAAGGGACTGGGGTGGCTAACCCACCCATCAGCCGGTAGAGCTGAAATAGCTGTGAAATCTAGAGCCAAGAAGAGTTCCAAAAATGCATGCAGATTTCCTTGGCCTGTACATGTTAGGAATTTTCTACAAACACGACGGATCAGAAAAAGAGAGAGAAGAGAGGGGGAGGGGAGTGTTTTTCCATGAAAAGAGCACCTGTCCACTGCCCCTCCGAGCGTGTTCTCAAGGTACCATCCACATGCACAGGCTTAAAGCTAACAACCCTTGTCATCTGTGTCTGGAGAATTAAAAAGTCCCGATGCAGTGAGTATTTGTTTGTTTGGATTTGGATTGTTTTTACTTTATTTGTTTGGTTTGTTTGTTTTTACTGGCGTCCTCCATTCAAACATTTACATAGGTAGGGATTTCGTTTGTGCTTTGATTCTCAGCAACTATGGAAATACTTCCTGGCAAAATAGGAAACAGAACAACAGAGGAAAGAAAGAAAACACAGAGTTAGTGGTCATGAAGGGTGATGCACTTGACAAGAGCGAAATTCTTTCCTGATGGGTGGCAAGCAGGTCGCCTGGAGCCTCTGGGGGTTTTCCTTAAATTGCAAAGTGTGCCCCAGCAGATCCCCGCTTTGGCGTTGAAGGTGGAGTGGCGTGTCTTGCTCTTTGCAATCGGAGAGATGAGTCACCAGGTTGAGCAGAAGGGGAGGGAGGGGAGGGTAAAGCTACTCTCCTAAGAGAAAACGTGTAACACTTACTCATTTAATGACACTGGAAACAGAAAGGTGTCAGAGACTTTGCAATGTCCTGGCGAGGGAGGGAGGGCTACTTTCCCCGTGAAAATGGGATTGAAAACCAAATGACCCACCAAGAGGCAACCTGGAAGCTCCAGCAGTGAATACACAGGGTGAACGCCTCTCTGGGCTTGCAGACAGAAAGGCCTTTTTCTTTCCAACCCAAAGCAATTACGCATTTATCGCCCTGTCTCCCCAGATAAAAGAGAGCGCGCTGTGAAAACCGGACACCCTCCGTGGCTGCAGTGGTTATTATTACCTCCAGCACCAGCCAGTCATTGCATTTAAATTTCCCCTTAACACAGCCACGGGGCTGTCCACTATCGGTTTAAAGACAGGGCGATGTTTTCATTTAGGTACTCGTTTTTCCCCCAAGTGACAATCTTATCAGGGCCTGCTAGGTGGCTTGGCATTATCACATTAGAGTGAAGCATGAATGGTTACATAGTAATTTATCCGTCGGAGTCAGCATTGCAGGGTCTAGGTGGGAACAGTTACGGCTTCAACTCCTGTTGCCAACAGACAGGAGGAAACAAGAAGAGAAATGGGTCACAACGGTGGCCTCACGCATTTGTCTAACTTCTTGGGAAATTTTCTCTGCCATAAATAAGAGGGTCTCGCAGTCACCCTGGAGACTCTATTCCTAGCTGTTGGATGTGCATGCTTACGTCACAGGCTCTACTGATATATGACAAAGTCCACTTTAACACTTCTGGAAGGGGGCAGGGAAAAAGGAGAAAGAGAGCTGCCCATCTAACCCTCCAGTAGCTCTCTCAGGAAAGCCCACTCCTGGGCTGTTCTACAAACTTGGTGCCTCTTGTCCTTAAAATTCACAGGTTCCGTGTTTTCTGGGGGACGATTTTTAGATGACTGCTAGATTTTTTAAAAAATCCCAGGGTGATCGGGCTGTCACTCCTCTAGGGCAGGATGCCCTCCTTAAAGCGGTCTCAAGGTGAGGCTGCCATATCTTGTTCTGGTCGTCACGTACCCCGTCCCTCACACCCTGCCCGGCCCTCCAGGCCACCAGGGCCAGCCTCTGGGGCCAGCCCTTCCCGAGTCTTGTCAGAGCCAATGTTTTGCTCTTTGCCCAAGAAAGCTTATAGCCCAACGTTTTAGCAAGGGGTTTTGCAAAAAGAGGAACAAAGCCACGAGGGGGAGGGGGGCAACTAGACAGGAGCAGGAAGGCTTTTTCCCTCACTCCAAGGGGAGGAAGCAAGGAAGGAGGTATCTTAGCTGCTTCTCTGAGGGATGTTAGCGCAGAAAACAGTGGTTATGTCAAGCCAGAAAGGGGTTAGAGAGAGAGTCAGCCGCTGACTACTCAGGCTGAAGGGCTGACAGCTACTGGGAATCATTTACCTATGAGCTGGGATTCCACCTTCTCATCTATCAGCGGGCCAGGCCTCCTCAGTTCAGTCTGAGAGATATGGGGCCTGCTTTCAGTGGGACTGACTGGACTGACCATCTCCCGTTCTTTCTCATTTTGCATCTGGGCATAAACATTAATCCCGGGGATCTTCCTAAAACATTAACAGAAACCATCACTGCCGTGCACGGGAGACGGACATCCCGTGCGACACGTGCTTCTGAACCTGTCCCGGAGAAGGAAGTGGGCAGGGAGCCAAGGACAGAGGCACACGTACCTTTTAAACTTGTAGATGACGAACACGGCCAGCCCCACGAACACCACGGAGAGCAGCATCAGCATGGCGGATCCACTGTGGGTCGGGGTGAGGTCGATCAGTGGGGCTGGGGGAAGCAAGGCATGGGCATGAGCAGGGATGTAGGCAGGCGGGACTCCGTGGGAGGCTCACGGTGCTCACCTAGAGGCAGGGGGAGTCCCAGAAAACCTTGTGGGACCTGCATACAAGATGCACGTCACACAGCTGACACATGGGTGTGTCAGAGCCTGTCCCAGCCTCCAGAATGCTCCAGCTGGCCTGCCGTAGAGGGGCAGTGAAGCCAGATTACTTGGATTCAAGGCCAGCCCCACCACGAGCAAGGTGTGGGATCCTGGGCAAGTCATTTCAACTTAATGTGCCTCATGGGCTGAGATGAGAACAGCAGTGCATATCTCATGGGGCTTTGGTCAGGATCTAATGAGTTAATGCATGCAAAGCACTGATAACAGTGCTGGGCACATATGAATCTTCTATAAATATTAGCTTTTATCACTACTGCTGCCGCTATTTTTTCTAATCAATATTTATAATAATATACTTAGCCAATTTTCCTATAATTTGAATGCAAGCATTTCCTTCTTAGCAATGCAGATAATCAGAAAATCTACCAAAGGAATATGTATATGAATTATCCATTTTTTTCTCACTGCTATCCCAGTCATTGTTATGTGAAAGGAAGAACTGAAAAGTAGTCACAGAACAAGCTAATGTTTTTTACACACAGAAAACTGGTAGCTTAGTGAATATATCTCAAGGGCTGGGGGAGGGGTGTGCAATGGGTGTGGTTTCTAAACCTCTGGAAGCCCTGACAGCTTGTGCTGGGAAGCAGCGGCCTTCTAGGTGAGTGGAATTTACCTCTCGGACTAAACAGATGCCTTTGCTGCCATAGAAGATTCTCCCACCCGGAGCTTGCCCTTAGAGTGCAGGTCCAGGGAACATCTCTTTCCACTCCCAAACCTCTTCCATCTCAGGGTCAAACCTGTTGTACTTTAAAACTTTGTTTCCAATTAAATTTCGCTCTCTTGAAAACTGACATTTTGCAAAAATAGCATAGCTCAAGCATAAAAGACAAGCAACATGTACCCCTTGGAAGCCTGAGTGCTGACCTTTTAATGTCCATCAATTGAAGCAAAGCCTGATACTCAAAAATGTGGGTGACCTTTAAGCACCACTTTCTCTGGCTTTTCTCTGTTAAGGGCCAAAAGTGCAAAGTTTTGGTCACTAAAGTTCAAGAGCAGGTAACTGTAATATGGATGATCTCTGACAAGCTCGAGGCTGCTCTAGGCTGTCTGGTTATCCTGTATAGTAAAAGGCTAATATGCAAATAGACTGAATGGTGGAACGACCAGTCGCTATGACATGCACTGACCACGAGGGGGCAGATGCTTAATGCAGGAGCTGCCCTCTGGTGGTCAGTGCGATCCCACAGGGGGAGTGCTGCTCAGCCAGAGCCCTGAGCTGGGCTCACAGCTGGTGAGTGCAGCAGTGGTGGTAGGAGCCTCTCCCGCCTCCAGGGCAGTGCTAAGGATGTCCAACTGCCTGCCAGCTTAGCCATCAGTTGAACATCCCCTGAGGGCTCCCAGACTGTGAGAGGGCACAGACTGGGCTAAGGGACGCCCCCCTACCCCACACACACCCCGAGTGCACGAATTTTGTGCACCGGGCCTCTAGTTGTAGGATAACAGCCCAGCCACTCAATAACCCCTATGTATTGTGAAGTATACTCCATACACCAAATCATTTGGTGAAAAACAAAGTCAAGTCCTCTTTCCCAGAAAACAGGCTCAGTTGTGTTAGTAGAATCAGCCTTTAGGAAGCACTAAGATGAGGCACCCCTGTGATTCTCTCTTCTCTGTAAGTCAAGCAGCACTTAAGCTGTGAGGTGTGAGTCTGCAGATCTGTGTGTGGAAGATGCAGGGGAACAGCCATGGCACATGTGGCTTCAGCTGGAAATCATAGAATAGAGGTCTCTTTCAGGTACTTAGAAAGCACAATGCCATCAGCAAAGGAGTCCAGAAATACTTCAGAATTCCCACCCAAATCAGAGCAGAGAACACCTCTGTTAGTCACAGACATCAACATTGACTCACAAATGGAAGACAGGACCTATGGTCTCCACTGAACAGATAAAACGATGAGATTCCCATTGGTTAATGTTGTTCCAAAGGGCTCAGAACTAGTTAGTGGAAGAAATAAGACTTGACTCCAAGTCATTTATCACACACTCGCCAAACATGTGCGCGCATGCGCGTGCACACACACACACACACACACACACACACACACACTTCATATATATTCAACCCTGGGCTTGCATTTCAGTGATGGATAGAAGAAATTTTAAAAGATAGTTTTCAGACAGAGAATTAAGGCAAGAACAACAGCACAAGAAGTAAATGAACAAATGGCACAAGTTAAAATATTAAGTTTTAAAATCATACATGTTGAAACTTGGATGACATGTATACACACATATCTGTATATATGTGTATATATGCATATTATGTGTGCCTAGAGAAATGAAGTCTCATGGATCCACCACCTGTTTCCATGACCATAAATCGACGTTATTATCTTTTCCTTTCTACCTTCCATCCACTCCCCACAACCCCCAACCACTGGATTATTTTGAAGCAAATCTCAGCTACCTTACAAATTCATATACAACTCTAAAAGATAAGGTCTCTTGCTCTCTCCACATTATCACGATTAAGGAAATAATAATAGGAAGATATTTTAAAGGCAATCTTCTAATGCAAACCTTGACTTTACTGGGAACAAATGGAGACCCAGAGAGGACGAAGATGGTTAGGATGGTTAGAGGCAGGTTATTTGCTAAACTTCTAATTCCTAGCTGACAGCTCTTTTAGAATAAGCAGGATATCAGTGTTGTACTATAACTAGGAAGAATCTTAAGCCTGTTTTAAAGGTTTGGCATTTGAAATAAATGAAAAGCTGAACAGAAGAAATTACTTTGGCTAGCCTCTCTCTAAGACAGAAAGCCAACACACACACACACACACACACACACACACACACACACACACACGGACTCTATTCTCCTTCCCTTCCCCCATCTCTAGCTTAACTCTTCCAATTCTAAACCACTCCCACTCAAATCCACATTCCTAAGCAAGCGGCATTAATACTGCTTAGTAATTAGCACATTATTTTGGGAAATGAGCTTCTGTGTCCCATGTTCTAAAACCCCCTCCTCTCCCTCTCCCACCCGTTCCGCACTTCACAGAGGCAGGCCAGGGGGCAAGCAGACGCAGCAGGCAGAGGCGGGAGGGAGACCGATACCATTGCCCTCTGTATTCTTCTTGCTGAGCTGCGCCTGCATATAAACAAGCCATTATTGCTCCACACAACAGCAGCTGCATGTCTTAGTTTGCCCAACACTTAGGTGCGTTTGTATGTTTTGCTGAGGAATGGAAAATTGTGATAAATGGGCTTTAGCTTGTTGTGTGGAATTAGCAAAACTTAATCCCTCTCCAATTGCAGCATAAACAAGGTGGAAGCAGAGGGGAAAGTGCTGAGCAGTTTATCTGCCATTATTCATGCACAGAGCAACAAGGACAGGACAGCACTGCAAGTCACCGGACGTTTCTCAGTGTGGGTGCTGGCAAACACAGTTCTAAAATCCCATGAGGACCTCAGAAATGCACCGAAGTTTCACCTTCTGTGCATGAACACTTAGATTGATTATAATAATAGCCATGCTTACAGTAATAACCATAGTCTTGGTATATAGTGAGAGCTAAATAAATGTTCACAGATTGCATGTGTGAGAGCAAAGTCAAAATTCCACATTTAGGGTGAATTGATAGATATGGTCCCTTTTGTGGAGTCAGATTCTCTTCCACTTATGGCTAAGTGGCTTAAACTGAATCTCAGTTTCCTCATCTACATAATGGAGATAAAACATGTTTATTTTAGAAAGTTGTGAGAATAAAGTAAGATAATATCTTTAAAGCCTTAGCATAATGTCTGGTACATGCCCAGTATCTATTTTTTAATATATTTTTATTGATTTCAGAGAGGAAATGAAAGAGAGAGATAGAAACATCAATGATGAAAGAGAATCATTGATGGGGCTGCCTCTTGCATGCCCCACACTGGGGATTGAGCCCGCAACCCAGACATGTGTCCTGACCAAGAATCAAACCTTGACCTTCTGGTTCATAGGTTGAAGCTCAACCACTGAGCCACATCGGCCAGGCATGCCCAATATCTATATATATAAAAGGCTAATATGCAAAGTGTCTCCTTGGGAGTTTGGGAGACCGGAAGTTTGATATGACCGCTTGTTATGACGTGCGCTGATACCAGGGGGTGGCACAGAACATGGAGGGTGACCAGCAGTGGAGGCAAGGAGGCGAGGAGTCAGGGGGAACCATGCAGTGGCGGCGTGCGGGTGGTGAGGGAAAGAGGAGGCAGGGAGGCAGGGAGGTGGTGAGGCAGGGAACCTGATCAGTCCTGATAGCTGGCCAGGCATAGGGACCCTACCCATGCACGATTTTGTGCACTGGGCTTCTAGTTTTTAATATCATCATATCATTGCTACCATATAGCTGAAAGTGTATTCTATAGAAAACCAGCCCTGAGAGATGACGAAAGAGTTCTGTGGTCAAATACTTTTTAGAAGTGTTAGATGGGCATCCCCCATCTTGGAGATTCATGATGCTCAAGAGTGTATTATGTTGAAAGTTCACAGCAATCTTGCATGAACAAAACTAATTTAACTTTAGAGTTTCACACACTCATTAGACCACAGACCCATGTTCCACACAACACATTAGGAAATGCCTCCTCCTGAGCACCACTTTCCCCTTTGCTGCAGCCTTGGCTCTTTGTATGGTTATTTCCAAGTTTTAAAGTCCACACCGTGACTAGGAAAGCCGTGCAGAAAACCCTTGTTGCTGTCTGTATTCACTCTCATTCTATCCAAGAGACTTTCTTAGAGAGCGTCTATCTGCACTATGACCCTGACACTTTGAACTGTTATTACATCCCTAATCCAGAAGTTGGTGCTATCAAAAAGTTGCAAAAGCAAGTTCACCAAAG